AAAGAGAGAAAAAGAGAAAGAGGGGGAGGGAGAGAGGAGAGAGAGAGAGAGAGGGAGGGAGGGAGGGAGGGAGGAAGGAAGGAAGGAAGAAATCAGAGCCAGATGTGGTTGTGCAAACCTGTAGTCCCAGTATCTGGAAAGTTGAGGCAGGAGGATCACAAGTTTGAGGCTAACCTGGGCAATTTAGCAAGATCATGTTTCAAAAAGGGGAAAGGGGGCTAGAAAATGTAGCCTAGTGGTAGTGTGTTTACCTATTGATAGGTCTCAGCAGCTATTATGTATAGTAGCTGCCCTCTTCCTGTTGTGCCTTGCCCCCTCCCCTGTGTGACATCATGCCAAGATGGTTGCTCCCACCAAAGAATAAACCCTAGTACCCAAAGTTTTGTCTTTTTGAAATGGCTGTGTCATGAGTGAATCAAAAGGTTTTACTGGGTGGGCTGTGTCTTAATTTTTCTGAAGTCTAGCTTTATTATTATGTCATTGTTTTATATCTCTTTTGGTTATTTTTTCTGCTGGGTGTTTAAGACCAAGTTAAAGCGAGACCTGTGTCAATCAATTTCGGGACCAGAAATGTCAGGTAAAAGGGCCAAAAACCAAGACCAGACCAGGCCACAACAAGCCTTTATTAGGGGAATAGATCTGCTAGGCTGTCTCTGAACAAAGGAGAGACAAAAGCAATATGGCTGGGGCAAGGAGAGTCTTTTATAGAGACTGGAGTGGGGTTTGCAGGGGCTGAGGTGGGGTTGAGTGAGGTAGTGACTAGGGAATGGAGGAGCCGGTGATGTCACTAGGTGGTAGGAGGTGAGTGAGTATTAGGTTACTTTCTAGGCAGGAACAGGGGCATGCTGGGGAGAAGGGTTTATTCTTTGGTGGGAGCAACCATCTTGGCATGATGTCACACAGGGGAGGGGGCAAGGCACAACAGGAAGAGGGCAGCTACTGTACATAATAGCTGCTGAGGTAGTGGGAGACCTATCACCTATCATGTACAAGGTCCTGGGTTCAATCTCCAGTAACACAAACCAAAATCAACAACAATGACAAAACCAACCCACAAATTACCTAGGTGATGCACTTAGGAGCCTGAAAGGATCACCAAGAGTTCAAGGCCAGCTGGAACTATATAGCAAGACTGTCTCAAAAAACTAAACAGGGCTGGGGATTTAGCTCAGTGGTTCTGACACCTGCCTCACAAGCACAAGGTCCTGAGTTCGATCCCCGGTACAAACAAACAAAAAATCATAAATCATATCCTGTCCCTCCCCTGTTTAAAATCTCTTACTAACTTCCAAAGTCACTTAGTATTCTTTTTACATTGCTGGTTATAAAAACACAGTGCCTTGCCCATAATAGGCAAGGACTCCACCACTGAGCCACATCTCCAGTCCAGAGTCATCTAATGTTGACTGGGAAAAATTTTTTTTTGTATCAGAGATCGAACTGAGGACCTTGCGCTTGTGAGGCAGGCCGCAGAACCACTGAGCTAAATCCCAGGGCCATCCTTCTTTTGATTAACTCAAAGTCATCTGATTAAAGACCTTAATTGTATCTGCAAACCCCTTTCACCTTTGTATATGACCTAATCACTGAAGTGAAATCCATCCCATGCATATCTTTATCACACTCAAGAGGAAGACATAATGCAGGAGGGTGTGTGTACTTAAGGCTAGGAAATTTGGGAACCATTTTAGGACTCTGCCTACCACAAAACCTCGGCCTCAAAGTCACTTCCTAGCTGGGTGTGGTGGTGCACACCTGTGATCTCAGCACTAGAAGGCTGAGGCAGAGCAGGCTCATGAGTCTGAGGCCAGCCCGGAATCCATCAGGGAGAGCTTGTATCAAAAAAAGAAAATCACTTCTTTAAAAAGATCTTCCCTGGGGCCGGGGATTTACCTCAGTGGTTTTGTCACAAGGGCAAGGACCTGAGTTCAATCCCCAGTACCAAAAATATAAAAAGAAATCTAAAAAGACCTTCCCTGATTCCAAGTCCAAAGTAAATCCCATGGGCTAGGGGTATGGCTCTGGTATAGCATTTGCCTAGCAGATGAGAGGCCCTGAGTTTAACCTCCAGTATCATAGAATTTTTCTTTTTTTGTACCAGGGATAAAAAAGTAAAACAGGTTTTGCTCTATATTCTTCTATACTATACTGTACTTGGGGCATTTTTGGGGGGGGGGGCTTCAAATTTGTGAGCCTCCTGCCTCAGCCTCCCAAGAGCTAGGATTATAGGCATATGATTATTTTGATTCTCTCCTCTTTGCCCCGTGAGCTCCCTGAAAGCAGGGACTTTGTTATTTTCATCACTGCATCCCACATGCCCAACCAAGAGCTTGGCAACAGTCGATCAATAAATAAATGAAAAAATAGGCAAATAAGGACAAAATTAACCTACTCACATTAAATGGACAGAGAAGAGAAAGAAGGGATGTAGGCAGTACTGACTGAGCCAAATCCTATACTAAGTGCTTTTTATAATATTCCCTTTCTCATTTAATCCTCTTGGCTATCCTAATATTATTACTGTTCTTAGTCCCATTTTACACAGCAGGGGAAAAGTCTCAGGATAATTTTCATGCCCAAAATCACACAGCAGATAACTAAAAGAGTCAGGATTCAAACACAGGACAGAACCATTCCCACTATAAATTTTGGTAATCTTCTTTGGATTCAGATTTGGTTACCTGTTGAGTGCAATGGCACAGGCCTGTAGTTCCAATTACTTGGGAGGCTGAGAAGGGATGACCTCTTGAGCTTATGAGTTTGAGGCTAGCCTGAAAAACAAAATAAGCCCTTTCCCCCAAAAAATCTAAGCCAGGTGTGGTAGCACATGCTTAAAATCTAGCACTTAGGGAGACTGAGGCAGGAAGATCATAAATTCAAACCCAACTTGGGCAGTTTAGTGACTTAGACCTTGTCTCAAATTTTAAAAAAAAATTTTTTTTTTAAGGCTAGGGATGTAGCTCAGCATGAAAGCCCTGAGTTCAATCGCCAGTACTGATAAATAAACAAACAAGGGCTGAGGATTTAGCTCAGTGGCACTGCGCCTGCCTCACAAGTGCAACGTCCTGAGTTCGTCCCCATTACCAAAATAAATAAATAATAAGTAAATAAATAAATACAGTAATATCTCAGTTCATCAACACTTCTGTTTGCAAAGTTTGATTCGCAAACAAAAGCATTTGGCAAAATTTTGCATCCGTTCACAAACTCTCCATCAGGTGACAAACATGACCATGACCATCTTCCCCACACAAACACAAACACGGCCATCTTCCCTAAAATTGTAAAACACATTAAGTTCGCAAACCAAGGTACCACTGTAATTAGCAGGAAGGAAGAAAGGACAGAAAGAAAAGGGAAAGGAAAAAGAATAGAAATCCAAGAGTCGCTGGAGAATTGGTCTGCCACCACTTACGGAGCTAGGGAAATGGCACACTTGCTCTAGCTCTGTCTCCCTTTCTTTTTTAAATGGAAGTGGTCAGCTGAGGTGAGAAAATGTGCATGAAGTCCCTTGGACATAGCAGATGGTCACATAGCATGCAGTGATCCCCATGGGCCAAAGGGCCACCCCTGCTGGAATGGGAATCCTCCTTGGTTGGATTAGCAGGGTCGGGGAGTCCCCAGTAAGGAGGCCTAGAGAGAGACGCCTACAAATATGATGTCCCAGGCCAACCTGCTTGGCACCACCCCACAAATACAAGTCTTACAAGGAAGCCAGTCTGGAAGGAACCAGTTGCCAACCAGAGCTGCCCAGGCAATTCCTGGGGCAGATGGAGGCAGGTCTTTCAAAGCTTAAGGAGTGCCCGGGTCTCCTGTTCTTGCTTCCCACCTTTGCTTTTCTAAGGTGCTGAGTATCATGGAAGTAGGTCATTGGGAAGAGGGCAGAGCCAGAGGGAGGGCTGGAAAGCCTGGCCAACAGTAGGATTAGGGGGCCACACCTCCCTGCCCCATCACAGTGGCTTACATTCCCACCACAGGATTCCCCGCATGGACTCCTTATCACCTTCTTCCATTCCTCTTTTCAAAAGGGACTCCACAACGGGCATGGTGGTGCACACCTGTAATCCCAGCGAGACTCTGCCTCAAAATAAAAAATGAAGGGCCTGGGATTTAGCTCAATGGTTCCGCTACCTGCCTCGCAAGCACAGGGTCCTGAGTTCAATCCCCAGTACCAAAAATAAAAATAAAAATAAAAAAGGGCTGCAGATGTAGTGAGCCCTAGGTTCAATCTCTAGTATCAGGGGAAAAAAACAACTCCACCACCTGCCTTCAGCCCACAGAGACAGGATTAGTAGAATGCTCCTCAAAGTTTCTCTTCCATGACTTGGAGGACCCCCGAGCTAGGTCAAGTGAGAGAAATGGACTCAGCCTGGGAAGGGCTGTGCTGAGAATAGTTGCGCAGCCCCACCACTGATGGTCACCCCAGAGCTGAGATGCTGTGGGGTGTCAGGGCTCATCACTGTACGACTCCTTCATTTTACCAATGGAAAAACAGCCCAGAGAGGGAGAGAGCTGGCCTCAAGTCACACAGCTGGAAAAGAAGGAGGAAGCTGGGTGTGGTGGCACATACCTGTGATCCCACCACTCGGGAGGATGAGGCAAGAACATCGCTGTAAGGTCGAGACCAGCCTGGGCTACACTGTGAATTTAAGGCCAGCCTGAACTACATAGCAAGACCCTGTCTCAAAAAAAAAAGGCAGGCTAAAAGGCAGGTCATCTGTCTCTCTTTGCTGGCTCCATGTGTCTTCCTGTCTGAGAAGTAGAAGAGGAAGAAGTTGCCTGAGAGCAGGAGAGCAAATCTTCCTTCATCTTCATCTGTTGAATGGGAATAATGAGTCCTCCCTGCCAACACACCACTTGTTTGGGAAGCTTGAGTGAGCGACAGAGGGGAAATGACAATGACATTGGTGGGAGAACTGTCCACGTGGTGGCAGGAGATCTGAGCGGGGGCAGAGCAGATGGGCTGTGAAGATGTGGGTTCACCTTGTGGTCCTCCCCAGGTGGGGCCCAGGCCTGGGCTGCCATGGATACCGTGTCCCTGGAGCATCAGATCCAGAGCGTGCAAAGGCACATCAGCTTCCTGAAAAAGGAGCAGGTGGCCCTGTTGCGAGACCTGCACCTGGAAATCCTAAGGCTGCAGAAACGCTGCTCAGGTGAGGCCAGGGGACCAGCTATGGGGTGGGCAGGGTCACTGTCATCATAGCCACTGTCTTCAGCGGGAAGCCTCACACCAATCCTACGGCCACTTTTTCTGGATGAGGAAACTGAGACTCAGGGAGCTGGGTAGAGATTTGGGGCTGAGAGGTTTGGTGAGGTAGCCCATCAGGGAGCCTGGGATTTCTGTCTCTCTCTCTCTTTTTTTTTTCAGTACTAGGAATTGAACCTAGAATCTTTGCACTGAGCTATATCCCCAACCATTTGTTTGTTTGTTTGTTTGTTGTTTATAACAGGGTTTCACTAAATTGCCCAGGCAGGGCTCAAACTTATGATCCTCCTGCTGTAGCCTCCTGTCCTTTTTGCTCACTGAGTATCTCCCAGCCCTCAAAAATCCCTGGGTCCCGTTGGGGACACGCACATATCCAACCGGTGGTATTAAGATATAGCAGGTACACACCTGTAATCCCAGCTATTCAAGAGCCTGTGGCAGGAAGCTTTTGAGTTTGAGGCCAGCCTAGGCAGTTCAGTGACTTAGCAAGACCCTGGCTCAAAATAAAAATAAAAAATGGACTGGGAAAAAAAATAGACTGGGAATGTAGAAATTTTTTAAAAGGGCTGAGGTTGTAGTTCAGTGGTAGAGTGCTTGCCTAGCATGTGCAAGCCCCCAAGTTCAATCCCCAATACTTCAAAAAGAAAAAGAAATTGAATGTGGCAGTTGTCTGGAAGATGAACTGTGGGAGAGGGAGGCTGGGAGGCCTGTAACAGAACTGATGAAATGGTCCAGGAGAGGGATAAAGAGGCATGGACGGGGAGGGCCAGAGGAGGCAGGTTGAAGGAAAGGGGCTGCCAGCTGATTGGTTTGTGAGCAGCAGAGGGAGGTAAAGGATGAAGTGAAATCCTAGACCTGCCCCTGCTCTTAGACCTGCAGCCTCAACTGCCTGGGCCTCTCAGAGCCTTGGCTGTGACCCGGATGTGCATGAAGGCTGAGTCCCAGAACAGGCTGTAGGGCCAGTGGCTCACAGAATGTCTCAGCTAGGGAAGACCCAATTTCTTGATTGTACAAATGGGTAAACTGAGTCCCAGAGAAAGTACATCACACAGTATGTTGACAGCAGAGGCCAGATTAGAATCCAGAGCTCCAGACTCCCAGTCCTACATATCTCTGCAGCTTTCTGGGTATTCTCTACCTCCAAGCTGCCCAGAACCCTAGCTCCCTCCAGCCCCTGCTCTCGGGAAGGTGCCCACTGCTCAGAGGGAAGCTGAGGGCTGGAGGGCTGAGTGACCACCTGGCTTCTCACACTGTAGCACAAGACATGAGTGGTCTCCCCCAAGGACCAGCCAGCGACAGAGGACAGCCTAGGGGACAGGGGTGGGCCTTGAGGACTCACCTCTGCCCCATGCCACTTTATCACTGCAATAACAGCACTGGAGGAAAATAGGGAACCCTAAGACCTTATGGCAGTTCCTCTAATTTTTCTTTGTTGTGTCCTAATTCTGAGTTCCAGAGGAGGGCCGGGTCCCAAGAAAATGTCACAGGTAGCCCTCCACCACCCCATTACCCTTCTCACTCTTACACTGGCAAGGGCCTGCAGCCTCTTGGTTATCGATTAAGGAGATAAAAATAATTCTTTTCTTTTTTTTTTGGTACCAGGGATTGAACTTGGGTCCTTGCGCTTGTGCAGCAGGCGGCGAAACCACTGAGCTAAATCCCTGGCCCCAGAGATAAAAATAAGTCTGGGCTGGACTGGAACAGCCACTGTGGGGATAAAATGACTGAGGCCCTCAGTTCAGGGCAGAGGTGCTGAGGAGAAGGGAAAAGAACAAAGAGGAAAATGGGGAAAGAGATTAAGGAGGAACCCAGAGAGCCAGGCATGGTGGTGCACATTTGTAATCCCAGAACTCTGGGAGGCTGAGGCAGGAGGATTGCAAGTTCAAAGCAAGCCTGGAACACAGGGAACACAGCAAGATGTCAAAAAAAAAAAAAAAAATCCAAAGGCTAAGAAGGCGATAGGATGGGCCAGTGTAGGAGCCAGGAGGACAGGCTGCTGGAAAGCCAGCTGAGCACGGCGGAGAACGCAGAATGAAGGGGCTTGGGAAGTGGTGGATTGTTCTGGGTTGGCTGGGCAGCCTGAATGATGACAAGAACTGTCCCCATGCATTATGCACTAACTTAACCCTGGACCAAACTTTCCTTTACTTGCTCTCATACCATCCTGGCAACAGCCCTTTTTATGGGGGGTGCTATTTTGTCCTCACTTTCCAGATGGGAAAACTGAGGCTCAGATAGATGCTGTTACTAGTCCAAGGTCACAGTATATCTGATATCACAGCATCTTCACCTAAGCCATGGGGATTCTGGCCAGAAGGTGGGCAGGGACATTTGCCTGTTGGAGGAATGGAGCCCAGCTGTAATTATCTCTCCCCACACCCTAATCACTTGGTTAAATGTTGAAGAAAATCCAGCCCACAGTCAGTGGTAGAGCCAAGATCTCTTAGGCTGAGTCCCTGAAGAGGCATCAGCTCCTCACAAGGGCCCCCGGGAAGAGGTGCAGGCTGGGATCATAGCACCAGCCCAGACACCTGGGCTCCCTGTCTCCTGGCAACAAGTGGCCTCCCCAGAGGAGGCCCCTTTGCCAAGGCCCTGCCTGCAGAAGTGCCCCAGGAGTGCAGTGAAGAAGGGCAGGCCTAGTCTCTGTAGGTGCTGCTGAGTGGTCAGTGGCCCCAGTGACTTACTGGCTTCCTGGCCCCCTGGTTCACACCTTCTTCCTTGGGCCCCATACTGTGTCCCTGCAAGTACACACAAGTGCTCCTGAGCAGCCACTGAGGCTTTTGGCTCCCTTCTGCTCACTGAATGGGGGTGGGGGGTGGGGGGCAAGCACAGGGTGTACCACTGAGCCACACTTTGGCAACCCCTTTTCCCAATTCTTGAGCTCTGATGGAATTGGGGGACTTCAGGTATAAAAAGTGTATAAAAAGCCAAGTGTGGTGGTGCATGCCTGTGATCTCAGCACTTGGAAGGCTGAGGCAGGAGTATCACTGTGAGTCCCAGACCAGCCAAGGCTACATAATGAGTTCCAGACCAGCCTGAACTACATAGCAAGACCTTGTCTCAAAAAAAAAAATTTTTTTTTTTTAAATCAAGCTCAGCGGGGTTGAGAGGTGGGGCATTTGGGGCACTAAAGAATGGGGACTGGGGTGGGCATGGTGGCGCAAGCCTGTAATTCCAGCTACTGGGGGAGCTGAGGTAGGAGGATCACGAGTTCAAGGCCATCTGGGCAACTTAGTGGAAACCTGTCTGAAAATAAAAAAGATCTGGGGATGTAGCTCAGCACTCCTTGGGTTCAATCCCTGCTACCAGGAAAAAAGAAAAAGAATGAAGACTGGGAGAACAGGCTAAAAAAAAAGTAGTGGCGGGGTGGGACCTGCTGCGACACCGGCGCACGCAGGCAGCTGCTCACCTGCGACGACCCCCCCCTCCCGCCCCCAGCGCCAAGCCTCCAGGCAACTCCCATCACAAGGTGGCGCTATTCTCCTTGAAGCCCTCTCCCTGCTCTGTGGACTCGGTGGAAGTGGCGCATGGGAAGGAGCAGTGCCACTCTGCACACAACAGTGGAGGGAGGGCACAGCTGTACTGGCTATGAATATAGTGAACGCATGTGTCCAGTTTGGTAAATAGCCACTGCCCATGTCCATTGACCTTAAGAGGCCCTCCACACACTAGTATCCGTCCAGTAATTGTGCATCAAGGGCCCCCCAGAATTGCTATTTGCTGGTGTATCAGGCCTAGGAAGGGGCACATAGCCTCCCAAACCCCAGACAAGCCAGGCCCTTATGTCCCACAAGAACTGAACTAATCCTCAAACCCTGCATAAGCTTGTACTGGAAAGATCTTTGAACTTGGCATGAAGCCAACAGCCTCAGGCTGTACTCTGGGCATGGCAGGAAATTGGTATAGGGGGTGATTTAGATTGTTTCTAAGGATCTTTATTGGCACTGTTACTGAACTGTGATTCTCTGATTATCACACACACACACCCACACACCTGCTTTTTCTCTTCTCTGCCTCCAGAACTGACCCATGACCTGGAGATGAGAGAGGCCCAATCTCAGCAGCAAGGTAAGAGAAGGACGACTGGTCGGGAAGTACCATGGGGCCCCATGGTTGAATTTCCCAACTCTTAGTAGGACCCATGCCTTCTCCATCCCCAGCCAACTCACAGGGACAGCAACACCTCAGCTGAATGAGCAGAATGCAGATGTCAGTCCCACTTGCCCATTCAGCTGGGTGACTTTGTAAACAGCTTGTATGCCACAGAATCCCCTGTATCTGCCTGTGTCTCTGTCCAAAGTGGGGAAATGAATGGTGGAAGGAGATGACTCTGGTTTTCCTTCCTCCTTGCCCTCTTAACTCCTTTCTGGGACCCACTTCCTCAGTCCTTCGAAACCTTGTACAAGTGAACCCATGGTCAGTGTCTATACCCCACAAGGTGCTGAGTGTCAAAATGTGACACAGTGGCACTGTGGGGTCTGGGCTTCAAGGCACTTACTCTAGATGAAGAGAACAGAGACACATTAGCAAATCCTTCCCTTTTTTTTTTGGTACCGGGGATCGAACTCAGGGCCTTGCGCTTGTGAGGCAGGCAGTGGCACCACTGAGCTAAATCTCTGGCCTGCAAATCCTTCGTTTTACAACAGCATGACTTGTGCCATTGTAGTAATTCCTCCAAAACATTTGTTCATTGAATATTACTTCTCTCTCTCTCCTTTTTTTTTTTTTTTGGTACCGGGGATCAAACTCAGAACCTTCGACTTTGGAGGCAGGCAGCAGAACCACTGAGCTAAATCCCCAGCCCTATTACTTTTCTCTTAATAGTAGGGTGAAGCTAGGGAGATGGTGTTCAGTGGGTCTAGAGTTTCAGTTTTGCAAGATGAAAAAGTTCTAAGGCCGGGGATTTAGCTCAGTGGTTTCACCACCTGCCCTGCAAGTGCAAGGACCTGAGTTCGACCACCGGTACCAAAAAAAAAAAGAAAAAGTTCTGGAGATCTGTCGCAGGGTGTGCCTTGGAGTAATCACTCAGGAAGCTGAGGCAGGAGGAATTTGAGCCCAGGAATTTGAGGTCATCATAGGCAACATAGCAAGATCTTGTATTTTTTTGTTGTTGTTGACACTGTTTTTAATATATATATATTTTTAATTTTTTTGGTACTGGGACCTGGCACTTGCCAAGCAGGCACTGTGCCACTGAGCTACTTTCCTGGCATCCTTTAATGTACTTTTATTAGTGCCTGGAGACCTTGTCTTTTCACACACACACAGAAAAACTTTTGGAAATTTGTTGCAAAATAATGTGAATATACTGTACTATACTGTACATTTTAAAAACAGTTAAGGTAGTACTTTTTTTAACCATAATTAAAATATTTTTTAAATGTAGCAAGACTGAGCATGGTGGCACACTCCTGTAATATCAGCATTTGCAAAAGTGAGGCAGGAGGATAACTGAGTTCAAGGCCAGCCTGACCCTATCTCAAAAAAACCACTAAATACATAAGTTAATTTTCTACATGTGGCAGGGAGAAGATTGTCTTGTTGAGATCATAATCACTAAATTATAGGATCTCTGAGAACTAAGACTGGATACTAACCATTGTGAAGTGCAAGGCCCATTACCTGTCTTGAAGAGACTGTAACTGGTTAACTAAAAATAAATCATAAAAGGCTGGCATGTGTGGGCTGGGGATTTAGCTCAGTGGTTTCGCCACCTGCTGCACAAGCGCAAGGACCCGCGTTCGATCCCTGATACCAAAAAAAAAAAAAAAAAAAGGCTGGCATGTAACTCAGTGATAGGACACTTGACTAGTATGCACAAGGCCCTGGGTTCAATCCCCAGTACTCCCCCCCACACACACACACACAGAGAAGTCATAAAGATAGACATTTTTGGCCAGGAGAGTGTTTTTTAGTTGTTTTGTTTTAAGACAGGCTCTCAAGGACAATTTGGACTACATAGTGAGAACTTGTCTTAAAAAAAACAAAAACAAAGAGACAGTCAATCTTATAATGTAGTCCAGGATGGCCTTGAACTCACAGTCCTCCTGCTTCTGCCTCCCAAGTACTGGGATTACAGGAGTGTATACCATGCCTGGCCAGTAGAGTTCTGAAGAATAGATTCCCTGTCCTATTGATGTGTTGCTTACAGTTCAAGAGCTACATGAACAAGAATTAGGAATGGGGAGGGCTGGAAGTTTAAGCTAAAATGTTAGGAATCCTACAGATTGCTTTGTGCATATAAAGATCAGCTGGGGATTGCCTGAACACTTGAACTAATCCTACCCACTTCTTCATTTGACAACTACGGACCTTCTGTTTTTTTGTGTTTTTTTTAAATTCTTTTATTGGTACATTTTAGGTATACAATACATTTACATTTATCATTGGGTGCTTGTACCTGTACATGATGTATCTTGGTTCTTATTTTTTCCCCCATTACCAGTGCGTCCTTCACCCCCTCCACCCTTCCCTATTTACATAGATTTTGTTTCCATTTTTTTTCTTTTCTCATAATTTTTCCTTTCCTTTCTTTCTTTTCCCCTTCCCCTCCCACCAACCCTACACCTTTGGACCTTTTCCTATTTCAAATTATCAATTATTCATTTTATTTACTTTTGGTTTTTTTGGTACGGGGATCAAACACAGGACCTTGTGGTTTCGAGGCAGGCATCCGAACCACTGAGCTAAATCCCCAGCCCCTAATTATTCATTTTGATCCTTATTTACATCTGCAGTTTCTCACACTAGAGAAACTATTCGGTACTTACACAGGTGTGTCCTATTTATTTCACTTAAGAGTATGGACTCAATATGCATCCATTTAGCTATAAATGTCTCTAGTTTCTCATTCCTTATGGCTGAGTAGTACTCCATTTTATATTAAAAAAAAAACACATCTTCTTTATCCAGTTTCCAGTTAATGGGCACTTGAGCTGTTTCCAAGCTTTAGTTATTACAAACTGTGCCGCTATAAGCATGGGTGCACATATATGGCTGTGGTATGATTCTTATAATTCTTTGGGGAAGATACCCAGCAGGGGAATAGCTAGGTCAAACGAGACCTCTAGTCCTAGTTCTTTGAGGTATCTCCATACTGATTTCCACAGTGGTTGCACCAGTCTGCACTCCCACCAACAATGGAGAAGGGTTCCTTTCTCCCCACACCCCCGCCAGCATTTGTTATTGGTTGATTTCTTGGTAGCAGCCATTCTTTCTGGGGTGAGGTGGAATCTCAGTGTTGTTTTCATCTGCATCTCTCGAATGACTGGTGATGTTGAACATTTTTTCATGTATTTATTTGCTGCTTTTACTTCTTTGTCTGAGGAATGTACGGACCTTCTCTTCATCAAGTGCTGGAGCATGGGCTGAGGTGAAAAAAGTTCTGTAATGACAGCAGCTTTTACTCCTACTTTCTCTGAAAGGGTTTTTAGGGTCACCTGGACTCAAGACACCACCCTGGTGTCCTGAGTTGTGGTGGTGGTGGTTGCCAAGCCCTGTTGTATGTGCACTGGCTTAGGTGCTGGGGCTATGGTGGATAAATACAGTGGTCCTCATAAAGCTTACAGGGTAGTAGGAGAGGTGTAGTAAACCATCATAAATGTGAGGTTGCCACCATGACATGTGCCAGGAAGCAGCAAATCAGTGCTCCAACTGTATGAGGAAGATGTGGCTGTTGTTCCTCCTCCATCTCCTCCTCTTCTTCTTCTTCCTTTCTCCCCACCCCGTTTCTCTCTCTCTCTCTCTCTCTCTCTCTCTCTCTCTCTCTCTCTCTCTCTCTCTCTCTCGGATCCAACTCCGGACCTTTTGCTTGTGAGGCAGGTGTTGGAACCACTGAGCTAAATCGCTGGCCCTTCCCTCTCTTTTTGAGACAGTCCCGCTATGTAGTTCAGGCTGGCCTTGAACTCACTATGTTGCCCACGCTGGCCGTAAGCACCACCTGGGAAGATCTAAGCAGCACCATTTTCAGGTCCATCCGCGAGGTTCTGAACCAAGTGCTCTTTGGTAGGGCCCAGGAAACAGTATTTGTAAAAGCACTCTGCATAATTCCAATGTATATCCAAGGTTGAGACCTGCTGCAGTGGCAAATCCAAACAAGTCAACAAAAAAAATTACGAAATATAGTAAATGCTCTATGAAGAAAACAAGGACACTGACACCCTCCCTCTTCCTGTGCATATCCCCAACTCTTCCCTACCTTGCTCTTGCCTTGTCTCCCTGACACAGGGCTTTTGTGAAAGCTGCTCCCTCTGTCTGAAGCACTAATTCTCCAGGGGAGGAGCTCTTCACCCTACAGATCCTATTCCAAGCCTCTTCTTCCGGAAAGCGTTTCTTGATTAGGCCACATCCTCATACAGTCGGAGCACTGATTTGCTGCTTCTGGGCATATGTCATGGTGCCAACCTCATACTTATTTATGATGATTTACTACACCTCTCCACTACCCTGTAAGCTTTACAAGGACCATTTTATTACCCACCATAGCCCCAACGCCTAACCCAGTGCACATGCGCAGGGCTCAGCGAATTACTTGTGGCCCCAATAAGGAAGGAGTCAGGAAGGGTTTTCCGTTTAAGCTGAAGCCAGAAGCATTAGTGGGGAGGCCCCGGGAAAGGAAGGGAAGGCAGGACCCTGCCGCTGACGCGGGGCTGAGGGAGAGCACGCGTGGTCGTGGAGGCAGGGAAGAGGAGGGCGCGGTTGGTAGCCACTGAGCGCCAGGCCAGGTGTGTTCCACGCCAGGCGGGCGCCGTCACCTTCCCTTGTTTCGCCCCTTCGCAGAGGAGGCGTCCCGGGAGCTGGAGAGCAAGTGCCGCGCGCTGGAGTCGCAGCTGGCGGCTCGGGCCGCGGCCAACGCCGAGCTGCGGCGGGAGGTGGCGCAGCGCGAGGCGCTGGTGTCTGCGCTGCGCTGCAGCCTGCGCTCCGAGGAGCGCCGCTTCCTGGAGGAGCTGCGTCGCCGCAGCCACCGTGCCACCGTCCTGGGCACGGAGCTGCAGAAGCACACGGAAGCGGCCGCCTACTTGTCCTGCCAGCTGCACGCTGCGCGACAGAGACTGCAGGCCCCGCGCTCGAGCCCCGGTGCCGCCGCCGAGGCCCGGCCCCGCCGACGCGCACAGCGGGCCCGCCGCCCGCCCGAGGCCGCCGCCAAGGCCCCCAGCCGGGACTGGGCCTCCTGGGACCGCGCAGCCAGCGGCCTGGACGACGTCGACCCCATGCCTGACCCTGCGCTCTTCCTATACGCCCGGCGGCCCCCTCGGCCCAGTGCCCGCGGCCCGCTCCAGCCGCTGCCCCAGGAGCCCCCGGACCAGGGCGGCGCGTCGCCTGCCGTATCCAGCCCGACCGGCGCTTCCGGGGGCCTGGAGTAGGCGCGGGGCTAAGGGGCCCCTGCGGGCGGGACCCGGGGACTGAGGCCACCCGCCCCGGCCCCCGGCCCCTCTAGCTGCCCCTGCCTTTTGTATTTCCCAACATTTCCGAAGCTTCGAGCTCTCCCTTCCCACGAGGCAGCTCCTCCGAGAAGGCTGAGCGGTTGCACCTTTTTTGCGAAGGACTCACAGGACTGATCCTGACCTGGTCCCCACCTGGCCACTGGGTAGGGGGGGCCGGGATCAAGCTCTGCCCCGGGAAAGCTGACAGTCCTTTGGGAGGGAGGAGAAAGGCTGGCCTACAGGAAGGAATGTAGAGTCCACTTGGCACCCCTAGGCTTCCAGCTTCCCTGCCTTGCACCTCCAGTCCTGCCGAGCCTTCTTCCTCCCCGGAGAGGCCCGGCTCAGGCTGGTCCTTTACTCGGGAAATGCTGTTCCCAGACCCACTCCCATCGAAGTCCTTGCAGGTGAGCACGGAACACTTTAGAGGCTGCATCCTCCCAGAATCCCTGGTGGGGCAAGTGTGGCTTGACGGAAGTTGAACTTGTGGAGGGCAGCACTCATTAGACCCTTAGGGTTATGGAATGGTTTTGGTGGCAGGACATGCAGGAATTGGGAGGACAGGAACTGTCCTGGGGCATCGAGGTGGGATGGAGGCATGTGGAAGGGCAAGGACTGCCTTTCCCCTCCTGGAGGCTTCCCTGGGAGTCTGCCTCCTCTGGTTACTGGTGCTAATCTTGCCCAGCTTCCTAAGCAGCTGGCCGCACCCCGAAGCTGAAAGGAGGGCCTAGCTTCTTGGAAGTGGCGGCTGTTGATAGAAGTTTGGGTTTGCTGAGGGATGGGGAAAACATCAGGAGACAGGTGAGTCCCGGCCTGGCTCCCTCCAGGAATGCCTCCAAGCCTATCCAAACCTGGTAGTGGCCGGATATTTCTGTGGCTCCCTGTCTCCATTGGGGAATGGTGACAACGAAAGCAGAACCCCCCTACACACACACACACACACACACACACACACACACACACACACACGATCCTCTTTTTGCTCTCCTTGCTAACAAGGGCAGGAAGTACAGCTTCAATCTAGCTCATTGGCCTTACCCCAACCCCAATCTAGAAACAGTCCCCAGAGCCCCCATGCCACCCCTCCTGGGTTGGTCCTTCATCCAGTCCTAAGTGCCTGTGAGGGCTTCCAGGGGGTGCCCAGGGAGGACACCTTTCCCTCACTCAGATATCTAGCCCCTGGCAGCTCCTAACCCTGGCAGAGGCTACACATTCTGTGTATCACCAGGAGTCTGGGAGGTGAACAGAGTCAGTCTCTAGAGATAAAACTTCTTGTTATGGCCCCCAGAGAGGAAATCCCTGGTCCGTATCCCCTTTCGTGCTACATTAGAGGGAGCAGAAATTCAATAAAAAGCAGAAAACAGTGAGCACGCTCCCAGGCTAGCCAGACATGCAGGTGCACCCCCCCCCACACACACACACATTGACCCCAAACAGGACTGCTTAAGGCCACCAAGCAATAAATGGGCTGGCTGTCCTGCTCCTGGGGTCAGGTGTTGGTGGTGAAGCTGGGGACCCTTGCTCTGTCTGGCCCACCAGTCCCTGTGCTGGCCCTGCCATCAGTTTCCTCCAGTGTGTGTTTCTCACTGCTCTATGCTGCCACCTTCCCTATCAGAACCTGCTCTGTTGGGGTCTTGCTCCCCTCCCTTGGAGGACTGTGGGAAGGAGGGGAAAGGACTCTTGCTGGAGAAGCCCACACAGACTTTCATCTTCCACAACCACACTTTTGGGGTAAGCAGGGTGATTTTGTTATGTTGATTCTTCTGCAGAGATGATGAAGTTCTTTATCCACCCCCTCCCCACCCACTAAAAGCCATAGCTCTGCCCACCTGGCCTCCCTCAAAGCTCTATAGCAATAGCCTTCTTTCCCTCTTCCCTCCTAGGTACCCAGGGTCTCCAACTGGGGGAGGCCCCACCACACTCCAGCCCCAGGGATCCTGCGGTGTCTGCCCTGCCTCTCCCCAAGGGACCCCATTAGTGACTCCATCAGTGTCATCCAAATCCTATCCCTCTTCCAGTAACCAGAGATAATGAGACTTGTTTGTGGGGTGCTTGGAATTGCCCCACATGAAAGGTTCTGAGTGCTGGGGTGGCTGGGAAAGAAAGTGAGGGAACCGTTCCCCAGCATGGGGTGTGATGGGGAGACCAAGGCAGATACAAGGTTCCAATTTTAGTTGAAATTCCCTTCCTCCCACCTCCTGGAAGTAATGGATTAGACTCATACCTGCCTGCAGGCAGAACCTCAGCCTCAAGGCCTGGAAGAAGTCTTGCCCTCAGCTTCTGCCCCAAGCATTCCAAAGCCAGGTGTGGAGGAGCCCCCGGCCCAAGACAGCCTCCCAGCCCTGTCCCTGGAAGGTCCAGGTGACTGAGAAGGGAAAGTGTTTCTTCTCTACTTTTCTCTGCTGTACACATTCCCACTGTGGAAGGGAGAGTGTTGACAGGGTATGCAGAGTCCTTCAATGGGGTTCCTGCCACACCCCAAATGCGGACAGAACCAGGAGGGAGAGCTGTGGATGGGGTCCCCTGCACATTCTGGAAGCCAGCTAGGGACCAGTGGGCAATGCGCTGGGAAGCTCCAGCCCCTGTGCCTGTATCCCTTCCACTGTGACCTGCACTTTGGGGGACCAGTCCATGGCCAAAATGAGGTAGCCATTCCTGCACACAAGCAGCAAGATAGAGTCCTCCTTGGTGGTGAGGAAGGAGGCCAGAGGATGAGGAGCAACAGCTTCTCACTTTAGGAGCCCAGGGACCCCTGAGCACCCTCTCACTGATGTGCCGGCCTCGGATGGGGTAGCATGCAGGGCAGAGGGATCCTGCTCCAAATTCTCTGTTGGCTGCGCTTTTTAATCCAATGCTTTTCAGAGTGGATTCACTCACCCACACAAATAGAGCCCTGTGCTTTAGGGGTGACTGTCATATGCCTTATTCTTAATAAAATATTTGAGAAACATGCAAGTCAGTTCTCTTCCTGTGGGCACTGCTTCCCCACATCTGTTTCCACATGTGGGGAAGAGGATGTGGAGAAGGTAAGAGTGGCCCGGGAGCCAACCTATGGTCTCCCAGGCAGGTTCTCATGATCAGATGAGGAATGAGGTTCATTCTCTCGCTCTCTCTCTCTGATTGAGTTGAACCAAACAAAGACCTTCATACCGAGCTATGTCTCCAGCCCTTTATTTTTTAAGTTTGAGAGAGGGTCTTGTTAAATTACCCAGGCTGGGCTCAAGCTTGTGATCCTCCTGCCTCAGCCTCCCAAAGTGCTGGGATTGTAGGCTCTCCATCACCATGACCCGCATAAGGTTCTCCTTTGTGTGTCCTGGTTCTCAGCCTCCCCCTGCTCCTGCTCCATGTAACCCTAACCCAAATGAACAAACAAAATCTTAACTCAGAGTCTCTTGACTAGGCTGGAGGATAATAGATTGGAAGGACCCTGTGCTAGAAATTGTCCACTGTTCTGGCCTAGAAGGAATTCTCAGGTTCTGGCACCTTTGACCATGTTGGTTTCATGCCCCTGTCTATCTGAGCTCCAAGAAGCCCAGCACACTCATGATGAGCCCTTTCTTATCCTCTACTAGTGAGAGTTATCTTGGGACTGCAGCTTTAGGCACCCAGTACACCCAGCATCCACAAAAATTCAAATGAGAATGTTTTCAATGTGGGTCTGTATTGTGAATGACTCTGGGAGAAAAGGAGAGTTGCTCTGCATTCCGAGAATGCAGGGGACATGTACTGTTTTGCATGCAACTCTTCTAATACAAGGACCTGTCTTCCTTTTGAGGAACTGCCTTCTGCCCATCTCAGTCTGTGTTTCGGAGTGCTGACCCATCCATGGGACCCAGGTGAGGTAGGTCACATTGATTGGTTGATTGGATGGAAGATGAGCACCGGACTCAGTCTGAACCAATGAGAGTCAATAATAAGATTTTTCTGGAACCAATCATTTAACCCTCTATGCTAGGTGCTAAGTTACACCAGTAAACAAAATAGGCCTACTGACAAGGATGAACTCTTGGGTGACTAAAAGAGCAAAATATACAGGACCGGGGATTTAGCTCAGTGGTTCCATCGCCTGCCTCTCAAGCCCAAGGTCGCGAGTTCTGATCCCCAGTACCAAAACAAAATCAATAAATTTAAAAAAAAAAAATTAAAAAAAAAAAGCAAAATATAAGTTTGGAGTTCTAGCAGATCACTTTCCACAGAGATAAAGCTGCCAGGCCTGGGGATTTAGCTCAGTGGCACCACACCTGCCTCGAGTTTGATCCCCAGTATGGGGGTGGGGAGTAAAGCTGCCAGAATATAAACTATTACAGAAGAATCAGAACCAGGAGAGATGAAGACAGTGTCCAGCCCAGAGCCATAGTTGGAGGTGGAGATGTGAAATGTCAGTGTGGACTAACTCTTGGAGATCATCTATGCAATCCCTTCATTTTACAGATGGGGAAACAGAGGCCTAGGGCATCTCATCGCTGTCATTCCTTTCTTCTCGGCTGTTCTGCCCATACAGGTTTGGGATTGGGGAAGGTGAAGCATTTCTTCTGTGTGGGTTCCCAGAGTCATGTCAGAGAGGTAGAGAACTCCTTCCTGTGGTCCTGGGAGTTTGGGCTCTGGCCCCCTCTCCAACCCCTGGAGGGCTCCAAAGAGAAGAGGGAAGTGGGCATGCCGCACCGAGTAATAAGTGAGTAATAAGTGCATTCATCATAAGAATAATTAGGGAGGTGAGAGGCTTCAAGTAGGCTAATTATGTGGCTAGGTCTCAGCCTAGGTAAACCTCCTTCATCCTCACCTAGCATCTTTATGCAGGGGCCTCAAAGATGAGGGAATGGAGGTACTCTGGAGTGCCATCCAGGCAGCCCTGAGGATGGGGCTGTGCAACAAGAGCCTGCAAGGGACAGGGGAAGGGATCCACTGAAGACAGGTGGTAAAGTTCAAGGCTGCTGGGACTAACTAGTCAGTCTCCAGACCCATGGCACTTGAAGGCACTAGCCATGAGGAGCACAGGGAGAGGCACCTATGCTGGGCATCTACATGGGCTCAGGCTGGTGGGTCTCAGCCAGGTATTATGAAAATGACCTGAAGCTCTGGATACAAAAGTCAAAGCTACAGTACACAAAGGGAATATCTGCACATAAAGCCCAGGTATTATAAACAACAGAGGGGACAAGGGTGGCCCTTTGGGCTGCTGGCAAAGCTCCCCCTCGGCACTCCAGAAGCCATTTAGAGGACAGTTTGGCCTTCCCTATACCTGGATCAGCTACTCAGCCAACACATTGAGCACCTGGCCAGCATCAGGCTCTGGGAAGATGCTGGGGCACCCGATCAATAAAGTATGATCCTTGCGTCCAAGAAGCCACCTTATTCTAGCAGCTGGATCCCTCACCCAAGAACCAGACATCCCAGTTGTTTTTTTGTTTTGTTTTGTTTGGTACCAGGGATCAAACTCTAGACCTTGTGCTTGCAAGGCAGGTGGTGGAACCACTGAGTTAAATCCGCGGCCCAACATCCCAGTTTGACCAAGCCAGTCTCAGTTTATGCCTCTTATATCATCATCATCATTACCATCACCATCATCTTGTACTGGGGATTGAATCTAGCACCTTTTCACTCAGCTACATCCCCAGCTTGTTAAAGACAGCTAAATTGCCCAGGCTGGGCTAGTGCTGGGATTACAGGCTTGGATCACTACATCACCATGCCCAGCTGTCATCATTAACAGTATCTATTTTTATTCACAAAAGTGTAGCTGAAGGCTGGGCATGGTGGTGCATACCTATAATCCCAGCACTTGGGAGGCTGAGGCAGGAGGATTGCCATGAGTTCAAGGCCAGCCTGGACTACATAGTAAGACTTTTTCTCAGCAAAACAAAAAAAGAAAAGACTGCTTCATGTGTGACCTGAGGTCAGACTCCCGACTCTAAGGAATGGTGATCAGAGGGTGATTCTTTTTGTGTATCTCTATTTCCTCATCCTTAGCCTTGCTGCCTCCCTACCCACATCCCAACAGTGTGTTAAAACTAAATTACACTTCCTCATGTTATGAATAGCATTACCAACATAGAGGAGGCTTTTGAATTCAGCTATACTGACTCTATTTTTTTTTTTTTTTTTTTGGTACCAGGGATTGAACTTGGGACCTTGTGCCTGCGAGGGAGGTGGTAGAACCAGGTATACTGGACTAAGTACAATTCTCTAACATCCTGGAGTTTCATGGATACAAACTAAGTTGTGTGTGTGTGTGTGTGTGTGGTAGTGCATTGAACTACTTTTTTTTTTTAATTTTGAGACAGGTTGGGCTTGAATTTGAGATTGTTCTGCCTCAGCTTCCCAGAATGCTGAGATTACAGGGATGCACCAACATGCCCAGATAATAAATGGGTGTTTTTATCTGATAAAGAAAGCACCTGTGGGTGGGTGTGGTGGTGCACTCCTGTAATCCCAGCACTTGGGAGGCTGAGGCAGGAGGCTTGCTAGTTCAAGGCCAGCCTGAATTACATAGTGAAATCTTATCTCAAAAGAAAAAAAAAAAGCACCTATGGGCTGGGGGATATAGCTCACTGGTACAGTACTTGCCTGGCAGTATGTATGAAGCTCTGGGTTTAATCCCCAGCACTGGAAGAAAAATAAAAATAAAAACAAACCAAAGAAAGCAGTTGAGAGTCACTAGAGTGACAGTCAAGTAATTTGCTTAGGTTTACAAAAAGAGACAGTGTGGATGTTGCCATGTACAGTACAGATTTCCAACCCAGTTCAGTATTAGGTTCATGTATCACCTTAGCCTTCTTGTGCAATAGTCTTAACTCATCTCCCCTTAGACTGGCTCAGTCCCCCTCCTCCCTCACATGGCAACCACAAGGGTTGAGACCTGAATCTCATCACTTCACACCTCCCTTTCTCCAGTTTAAAGGCTTCCTCCTTTCACTGTTTCTCTTTTCACCACCTGCATTCTCTAGGGCAAAGTCTACTTTTTTTTTTTAAGATTGAACCCAGAGCCTCACCCATACGAGGCAAGCACTCTACCTCTGAGCTACTTCGCCTGGCCCAAAGTCTACTTTTGCTTTGCAATTTGTACAACGATCTGGTTAGTCTTCCCCTCCACATCTCTGCAACTTCATTTGCTTTTTTTTTTTTTTTGGTACCGGAGATCAAACTTGGGACCTTGCGCTTGCAAGGCAGGCAGGCGGCGGAACCACTGAGCTAAATCCCCGGCCCTCTCTGCAACTTCAGATTTCCAGTTCCCCATAGATCCTGGCAGATGTCAAGAATATGCCTTAAGTACTTCATAAGGGCTTTCTGGGCCTGTGCAGGAAAGATTCACACCGCTCTCTGCCTGGACACCTTCACTCACTGGTTCAAACATCACCTCTGGGGCCAGGGTATAGTTCCTCGGTAGAGAAGCATTTAGCATGTCCAAGGTCCTGGGTTCAAGCCCCAGCAACACAAACACACACACACACACACACACACACACACACACACACACACACACGCCCCACCTATTGTAGTGTCCAGACTGGATTTAAATTGACCCAGCTCTAATGCTGCTGAGTGACCTTGGCCTCAGCTTCCCCTATTGTAAACTGAGGACACCAGCCTAGGAGTGAGAACCCATCTGGTGGGGGTGTGAGGACATTCTTAGGGAGAAATCCTGTGGTGGCTGAGGACAAAAGTTTGGTGACTTCATCCCCATTAGTTACCCTCACCACCACCTCTGGTACCACGCTTAAAGTTGCCCTGCACCTCTTCCTCAATAATCCAGACGCACCCCAGTTCCACTCTTTCGACAGCAAAGGGCACCCTTGGAGGGGAAGGCGCAGAGTGTCATGCCAACATCACAGATTAGAGACCTCGCGGTCTTTTGGCACAGTTGCATTAGGAAGCAGAGAGTCATTGGGGAGGGGAGGGTTAGCAACGGAAGTCCTAGAGGAGTCTTCAGCCAAGGTCACGGAGCCCGCCCAA